CCAAATGTCCATCAACAGATGAATGGATAAACAAAATGTGTTATATCCACACAATGGAATATTACTCAGCCATAAAAAGGAAAGAGGTACTGATACGTACAACATGTTGATAAATCTCAAAAACATTATGTTAACATCAGGTACAGTGGTGTGCACCTCTAGTTTTCAGTCCTACCTGAGTCTCAACTGTATTAACTGTATTAACCTCAACTCCTTGAGTATTAATGAGCATATGAAAGTATTAAATTAATATTTTCCTTAATCAAATACCTTGATTTATTAGGGAAATACAAATCAAAACTATAATAAGATACCACTTCACATCCTCTAGGATATCTATAATCAAAAAAATAGAAAATGCTGATAGAAATATAAAATGGTACACCAACTGTTAAAAATAGTTTGGTTGTTCCTCAATACGTTAAATATAGAATTACCATAGGAGCCAGCAATTCCACTCTTAGGTATATGTTCACAATAATTAAAAACAATGTTGGAATAAAAATGGTTTACATGAACGTTCACATCAATACTATTCCTCACAACCAAAAGGTAGGAACAACCCAAATGTCCATCAACAGATGAATGGATAAACAAAATGTGTTATATCCACACAATGGAATATTACTCAGCCATAAAAAGGAAAGAGGTACTGATATGTACTACATGTTGATAAATCTCAAAAACATTGTTAACATTGGGTATAGTGGGGTGCACCTCTAGTTCTCAGATATTCAGGAGACTGAGACAAAAAAATCACTTGAGCCCAGAAGTTCAAGGCTATAATGTACAATGATTGGGCCTGTGAACAACTACTGATCTCCAGCCTGGGCAACATAGCAAGATCTTATCTCTAAAAAAAATCATTATGTTAAATCAAAGAACCCAGATACAATACACGATAAATAACACATTCTATAATTCCATTTCTATGAAATATCCAGAATAAGTAAGTCCATAGAGACAGAAAGGTGATTATCAATGGCTATCAGGAGAGGGAAATAGAGAGTGCTTGCCTAATGGATATAGGGTTTGGGGGAGAGGGGTTAAATAGAATGAATATGGGATGAACATGAGAATGTTTTGAAACTAGATAGAAGTAGTGATTCCACAAAATTGTGAGTGTACTAAATGCTATTGAATTGCAGAGTTTTAAATGGTTAATTTTGTTATATAATTTTCACCTCTATTTAAAATGTTTAACTTAACATAGGAATTGTCTGGACATAAGGACAGTTATATGATGGTAATGATGAGCCTAGTACACTCTGGGAGGCCAAAGGGGAAGGATCACTTGAGGCCACTTCAAGACCAACCTGGCCTCCTATCTACAAAAAATACAAATATTAGCTGGGCATGGTGGCACTTGCCTATAGTCCCACCTGAGCCTCAACTGTATTAACTGTATTAACCTCAACTCCTTGAGCCCAGGAGTTGAAGTTTGTTGTGAGCTATGATGATGCTACTGCACTCTAGCAAGGGCAACAGATAGAGACCCTTTCTCAAAAAAAAAAAAAAAAGGCCCGGCGCCTATAGCTCAACCGGCTAAGGCGCCAGCCACGTACACCTAAGGTGGCGGGTTC